GACATCAACTGGTAAACCCGTTGTCAGTATAATTTGACCAAGTGGGCCACTGTGCTAGGTGCATTTGGCATGGCAAATTGTACTTTATTGTTGTAGCACTATCACAAGGAGGCAAATACACTAACACACGCTACTTCCAGCACATATACACACATGCACCCATACATTACACACATGGAGTCACGTCGTTAAATGACCTCATCTGTTAATAGGGCTTCAAATGTAATACAACCAAACTGTTTGAACATTTATAACGAAATACAATAAATGTGCTAGTTTTAATATATTTGAATTCGTGATAGACCTTCCTTGAAAACCTAATGAACATTTACTGTAATGTGCCCACATACACATGTGTATTAACGAAGACTGATCTCTATAGTACTGCTATTTGGAAAGCGAGGCTAGAGATGCAGAGTTTGAGTTACATTCAGACAATTTTGAGATGGAAATTACATTAACGTTACCACAACTACATAATATAATGTAAGTGTTGTTTTGTACGAAATGTTAAAGGCGAATAACTTTATCGGGTTTCCTCCCGTGTACCCCGAATATCTCCCATCCCACTAGTAGCTCTCTGTATATGCTTAGTAGACGTCAAGGTCAATGTTACAACACTGATAATCAGTACCATACTAACAACTACATCAGTACCATACTATACCAGAGAAACAGAACTAATAGGGGGAGCCTTCCAATGTCCTAATAGACAGTGTACTGACCCGGGCGGCCAATTACCGCAGCGTGTTAAGTACGTATTAATGAAAATCAGAGAAGCATGTTGGAAGAGTTAGCAACCGAGGGCAAAGGTCACTGATAGGCATTAAGTTGTGTGATCATTAACGTAGTGAAAGTGCAATGTACGTGCATCTCACGTGTGGCGGTACGACCTCAGGGTATCAAACGTCTTCATACACAAAGGGGAATGTCAATCAACTGATGTAACCATTACACACACTGTACCAATCACACAGCCGGGTCAAGGACGCCATCTATTTTTAGACTCAGGTGTCATAATAATGTACATCAGCACAATGAAAATACATAATGTACAATAGTATTCCTACAATTTCTCCGTAGAAAGATGTTCTTTTGAAGTCTTGAAACGATGTCAGAACCACAACTTAGTTACATTGAAGAAATTTATATTTAGCAAAAGAAGTGATACTTCAAAACCAGGGACGTATAGCTCTTTATACTGTCCCTGTTCAAAACAATATAAAAGTTAGGATATCTTCCTAGACGATTATATGGTCACAGTGTGTATACTTTTCTCTGTTACAGTTCTAAATAAACTATAGCATTGTGTTAACAACTTAAGATTAAATGCTTATATAGACGTTTTTCATTCCAGCTATATTACTTGGAAACATTCGGATCACCTCGATTGATTGCAGGTTGATCGTAGACAAACATAAAACGACTATGTTTTGATGTGCCATTTAACCCGTGTTATGATGTACTTGAGATTTTAATCACCGTAAATTGTTATATAATCTTGTATCATACCGTCTCACCAGAGTGAAATTCGATAGCCGCCCACACCCTTATACCCCCTCCCTCCAGACCCCCTCTCCGTGTTTACAGATAACCTTCACCCCTGCCAAACTTTCCCCCACCAACTGATACCTCGTCTTCCTCACTCCAGGGGGAGTATATCTCTATATCTGTTTACGCCCCGTGAAACCTCATCTGCAGATCTACATCTCCAGACTTCTTCACTAATGACGTGACGTCAGCAGCAGCAGCTACCGAGCTCATATATATATATATATACTAACCGCGGTAAATACAAACGACCGCGCAAAATACATACGGATTATGCTGATACATATAAATAGAGCCAAAAGCCATTTCGTCTTCGCAAAAAAATCTTTATCTTATCTTACTAAATATTTGTACTTTAATAACTCTATTCCACTATTTTAAAGTATATTACTAAATATAACTTTATTATACCCACAATATACAAGTACCACTAAATGTAATTAATGAATACCCCCCGATCACAATCATTGTTCATTAGGTCGAGGAGAACGGTGTTATGGTAACCTAGGTAATACGGCATTCAAATTGCACGCATTGACCCTATTATGTCACCATCGTGAAAATACTACATTTATGTGTAATATCAGCGCATTTATTAAAATCCCAAACCATTTAGGGAGAACTTGAGATAAGTGGGGCCTGTGTCCAAGACTTCCCATTCCTATAGCATTTGCCAATAAACTCCGTTAAAAATTAAATGAACGGAATAGTATGAAAGGGTTTGTTATAGACAAATGTTTTTTTTTCTGCCTTTGAAAATGACATTGTTTATATCATATGGGCAAGTCATCCGATACTTTTCACAGATAACTACACTGTGTTTCAGATTAAACCTATTTATTTATATATTTTATTTACCGAGATATATCTACGACTGATTAACTGGTTCAGAAACGCCCTTTCAGATACACATGAACAAGACGCTACTGTATCTTGTACCTTTATTCTGAAAACAAATCTTAACGTGTCGATCATAAATTTCTACTCGTTTTCTACCTATTACTGAATTTTCTGTGTGCATCTTCAATGAAGAATTCTGACGGAACAGCACTTCAACAATCTTAAGTCATTTGACCGATTGATTCGGTGTTATCACAGTGCTACCTTGTATCCACATGACGGCCAATCGTCAGGCCAACTTAACATCGAAAGATGGCATAGCCAGATCAAATGACACCATCATTAACGCAACTGGTTCCTACAGTTAGCAACGCAAATGTTAATATAATAGCCGTGATACTACATGTCAAACGATGATACTAGCTAGGATACTCTCTATTATATGATGATACTAGCTAGGATACTCTCTATTATATGATGATACTAGCTAGGATACTCTCTATTATATGATGATACTACTGTAGCTAGGATGCTCTCTATTATATGATGATACTAGCCAGGATACTCTCTATCATATGATGATACTAGCTAGGATACTCTCTATTATATGATGATACTAGCTAGGATACTCTCTATTATATGATGATACTAGCTAGGATACACTCTATTATATGATGATACTAGCTCAGATACTCTCTATTATATGATGATACTAGCCAGGATACTCTCTAGTATATGATGATACTAGCTAGGATACTCTCTATCATATGATGATACTAGCTAGGATACTCTCTATCATATGATGATACTAGCTAGGATCCTCTCTATTATATGATGATACTAGCTAGTATACTCTCTATTATATGATGATTCTAGCTAAGATACTCTCTATTATATGATGATACTAGCTAAGATACTCTCTATTATATGATGATACTACTGTAGCTAGGATACTCTCTATTATATGATTATACTAGCTCGGATACTCTCTATTATATGATGATACTACTGTAGCTAGGATGCTCTCTATTATATGATGATACTAGCTAGGATACTCTCTATTATATGATGATACTAGCTCGGATACTCTCTATTATATGATGATACTAGCCAGGATAATCTCTATTATATGATGATACTAGCTAGGATACTCTCTATTATATGATGATACTAGCTCGGATACTCTCTATTATATGATGATACTAGCTAGGATACTCTCTATTATATGATGATACACTGTACATTTTTACATTTACATATAGCCAGGATAACCTGTTTTACATTTACATAAAGCTAGGATACACTGTATTACATTTACATATAGCTAGGCTACACTGTATTACATTTATATATAGCCAGGATAACACTGTATTAAATATATTACATGAAAAGTAGCCATGGTACACTGTATGACATTTGTTTTTGACCAATGTATCACATGCGATCTGTCAGTAAACAAATACTGTATGGTATAAATTCCGAACTTTGATTCAATGAATTAAGTGTTAGCCTTGCCAAAACTGATATAGCAGGTCATGATGGAGGTAGCCTCACATACCTTTGTGCTTAACGTGGGAACTGATAGCAACTACTCTATTTAAGGAATCTATACGTGGGTACAATCAGTTATAGTTAGTTACCTCCCCTTACACATTTAAATGGTAGAGCGAGCAACCTGCACGTAAATGCCATCAATGTATCAATGAACATGTACAACTGCCGAAAAAATATAACAACGAATTAAAATCCTTTACCGGTAAGGCAATAACTTTCATGAACCCTGGACCTCCAATCACCATACGATAGCTCTAACCAAATAAGCTACATGAATAGCGGTTGGTTACTGCGAGGGGAGGGGGAGGGCAATACAATATTCTATAGATAGAACAGTGATCTTCATAAACTAAAAGTCATCGATACTCATCATAGAGATAGAAGTCGATAAGCAGGGGGTTATATAGATTGGGATTTGTCGTAGTGGGCTAGGTTTTCAGCGAAAAGGATTAGTTTTGGTCTTACCTGACGCAATATAAGCAATGGGCATTGCTTATGAAAAGATCCCATAAGCGTTTGCAAAATGCACAATCTATTTTGTGTATTATCTACTGAAAAATGATGATACTTCGTTAGACGGAACTCTACCTAGCTCAAGTTGAGCAAACGTATTGAATTACTTGGCGGAATATGGAAATATGTCATGATCAAAAGAACCATTGAACGTACGTGTGAAACCATTTCAAAAACTCATTTATCAAATTTTAAAAAACGGAAGAAGTATTCATATATAGATAAAAGTATAATCTTATGTTTTCTCGGGATTCCGATCTCTATATCAATATTCAAGTATTTCTTCGAGCAATACAGATATAAACGTTGTACATAAAATCATTATACACGGTACTGCATATAAACAGCATATACGCAGTTATAAACAGTATGTTAGCAGTTTATAAACAGTATATAAGCAGTATATACACTATACCTTATATATAAACGAAATATAGACTCAGTATACGTATAACATATATCTGGGCAGTATATAAGCATTATAATAGCGGTATGTAGGCAACATTGAAACAATATGAAAGCAGTAAAACAGTAACACTTACCGTGAAGTACCCGGGGGTGCTTAACCTTTTGTTTCTGGCCATTTCCGGTTCCGGGTGAGCCCTTACCTGTTCGTAATAAAATCAGTTACAATAAATACCTAGGACTGTCACCTACCTTTATATTCTACTGGCGATCGTATTAGCCTTATATGGTCAATGCAGTTACTTATACTCAATAAAAAGACTTCTGGTAAAATCCAAGATGGCCGCAAAGAAGGATATAAGAATAATTTAAAAGGATTTAAAGCTGACAAAAGTCAATTATAGTATGTACATATATTACTTATTGATTATTTTCTTTTGCCTATGCATGATACATTCGACAATGATTGTTTCCTCTATAAATTCCATAAAAGTCAAATTATAAAAACTGAAGTCAAACTGTAAGGAAAGAGAGAGGTGGGAAACGATGGATTTAAAAACAAACGAAGAGTTATTATAATGTTGATATATACCTTAAAATAACCACATTGACCACGAAAAGCTAACACAAATCATTTAAATATGGTATTAGTTAACGTTCCGCATGCATCTGTTAAGTGTTTGCCTCCCTGGGTACATGTAACGCTTTGAAGTTATACCTCATAATCCCGAGGATGATAATTATACATATCCAGAGTATCCATGTAATTTGTAGACTGTAAAAATCCTCTTACTTCTCAGCAAGAGTACGAACACTGGTCGGTGGGGACGAAAAACTGAAATAAGCAAACAAAATGTTCAGCACAAGGAAAATGCAGCACTCGCAGTCCACGGGATTTTACAAGAGAAGAATCCAAAGAATTCCTCGTCCTTTATACGGTCCCGACAACATCCGAAACCGTGAGGCGGACAGTCTGATCCGCCTTTACACAAAAACGACCATCATAACCTCGTCTGATGAATATATATGTTGACAATTAGTGAAGTACTGCGTGCACACGGATAAAAAGGATGACGGTTTCTGACAGTTGTACCTATATTAATCAACATATCACTCATGCACAATGGTACACATTTCACAGAAGATGAAACTTGACAACTGACGCCGTTATAATTTGATAAATCGTCTAATACGTAATGTAATATATTTCACAATACAACATAAAACATGTTTAGCAATATACTGTTACATAATACTGTTTCTATGTACAATATCATCATAGATCAATATATTCAAACATATTATCAAAGAGTACATTTAGTCTACCGTTTTTTTAACCGAGATGAAATAAATTCAGACTTACTGGTTGAGTGTTTAAGAAAATAACGAAAATATCCTCAAAGTAAGCCCGGCATAGAGGGAGTTGGGACAAGATACAGGAGCCCGTATAGGATTGTGTGGAGATTCCATATACATTTCCTTGGGCAAGTCGATTAATTCAGTGGGTAGATTTTGTTATACGATATCACTGATACAGCATTACGTAGAATCTTCCATTATGATTGTTAATAGCTTAACAAATATACATAATAGGCATCGAAATCAACAAATCGTAAACATTTACTTTTATAAAGATTTGAATAGAGTTTCGTCTTTTGTTTAATCTGTTCTCCCCTCTATGAAGACAATGGACTATTCCAGTACAAGATTCCAGCCTCTGTGGCCCGGCTCTGCCTAAACATGGAGAGCAGAATCGGGCGTCCTTGGTGAGATCCAATGTTTCGCTCTTACTACACTCACTCGGTGTGAGGGCGTATGGGCAGACGCACAGAACACACACATGCGCGCACACGTGTATTACACCTTTTAGTACGGACATGCGATGTACATATATACATTGACGTTATGTATGTATTTATTTAATTGCTTGTTGTGTTAATACTGAGCCGTCCCTCGGGCACTGTACTGCTTCTCCGCAATAGACTGGTAAAATCTGCTGCTAAGGCGAATACTTTCCCTGTTTCATTTCATAATGTTGATTATGTTGAAACATTCCCCAGTTCTTATTTCTGTACACACAGTACGTTATAGTGACGTCACTGTGACTTGAAAGTCTTTTAGTTTTCTAACATATAAAAGACTTCTTCAGAACGCCGGGGTTTTCTGGGTGTCTCACCGCCCCCTGTGTTTGTGTAATATCCTTGATTTTAGCATCATAATGATTACAGATGTTAAAACCTACTTAGTCTGAACTACACCGGTGTGAAATATTTTGTTCAAAAAAGGTGTATTGGCTGATTTAAAGGGAAGGAGTCACAACTCGTCTGCCTTCTTAATAGTCTTAACACTTAGTTCGGCTTTGTAGGTTAATTTGTATTTTACGTAAATATCACCGTTAATATTTTTAACTTTTTGGCCTTTCTGTCCAGGAGCTATGCCCTAACTCGTACAGGTTCCGGGGGAACTAAGGGTTCTGTTTAGACAGGGTTTAGTAAATTACTTATCATTATATATTAAAACTGTTTTTTGGGAGATATTTGCGCTGGTTAATAAAAGTTTCCCGAATCAAAATAATAATAAAAGCTTCCAAAATAGCTTTCTTAAACATAAATTACGGAAAACTAATTTATGTGATTTGAAGTGTTTTTAATATGTATTCATAAATTCGTTAAACCATAGGAAAAACTATAATTTACAAAATGTTCGTTTTAGAAATTATTTCTATGTCAAAATCTTTCATTTCGCAGTACTGATATTATCTTTGAGGAGGTAAGGGGTGATAGGGATGTTTCCTGTAGACTTGGATAAGTAAACACCATGCTGCTATGTACTCAGGTCTATTTGTGCCGGTGATTAATTAGAGTTGTTATGAGACGTAGCACCAAGTATAACAGAATGGTAACTGGAGTGTGAGCTACAGTGCGAGGTAAGTAGAATTACATACAGTGCATGTACCAGAACAATACAGTTACCATGACAACCGCACGCCCTTCCTACACCGTTATATCAAGTTTCCATGACAACAAAAACCACTGTGTTTGCATGTGAACCTTCTGTCCGTGCTTTCCTTCCTATTGTTTATATTTATGCTACATATACTAAGAACTATGGCATGTGGCAGGTAAGAAGTGACTAAGGACTATGAAAGGTCTATTTTGGTCACCTGTACATGTGGCCATTGCAGCATTCATCTACAGCATCTCGACAGATTATATTTCATATAATGAATCGGTTGATGTGGTCTAGTGTTTTAATTGTGATACTTATTCTCATTGTTTCTTCCAAAATGAATATAGCATGAATAAACAATGTTAATACAACAAATACTAAATATTTACATCAACATTACTATTTAACGGGGAGTGTGTGCTATAACAACGTCCTTATGACCTTAGCTGATGGTAGGACGTAAAACTCTATAATAAACAAAGTTGTCAACGGTCCCGCCATGACTAGACATGTAACAAGACGACAGGTTTGTTAAGTGTATGTGTAATGACTAGACATGTAACAAGACGACATGTTTGTTAAGTGTATGTGTAATGACTAGACATGTAACAAGACGACAGGTTTGTTAAGTGTATGTGTAATGACTAGACATGTAACAAGACGACAGGTTTGTTAAGTGTATGTGTAATGACTAGACATGTAACAAGACGACAGGTTTGTTAAGTGTATGTGTAATGACTAGACATGTAACAAGACGACAGGTTTGTTAAGTGTATGTGTAATGACTAGACATGTAACAAGACGACAGGTTTGTTAAGTGTATGTGTAATGACTAGACATGTAACAAGACGACAGGTTTGTTAAGTGTATGTGTAATGACTAGACATGTAACAAGACGACAGGTTTGTTAAGTGTATGTGTAATGACTAGACATGTAACAAGACGACAGGTTTGTTAAGTGTATGTGTAATGACTAGACATGTAACAAGACGACAGGTTTGTTAAGTGTATGTGTAATGACTAGACATGTAACAAGACGACAGGTTTGTTAAGTGTATGTGTAATGACTAGACATGTAACAAGACGACAGGTTTGTTAAGTGTATGTGTAATGACTAGACATGTAACAAGACGACAGGTTTGTTAAGTGTATGTGTAATGACTAGACATGTAACAAGACGACAGGTTTGTTAAGTGTATGTGTAATGACTAGACATGTAACAAGACGACAGGTTTGTTAAGTGTATGTGTAATGACTAGACATGTAACAAGACGACAGGTTTGTTAAGTGTATGTGTAATGACTAGACATGTAACAAGACGACAGGTTTGTTAAGTGTATGTGTAATGACTAGACATGTAACAAGACGACAGGTTTGTTAAGTGTATGTGTAATGACTAGACATGTAACAAGACGACAGGTTTGTTAAGTGTATGTGTAATGACTAGACATGTAACAAGACGACAGGTTTGTTAAGTGTATGTGTAATGACTAGACATGTAACAAGACGACAGGTTTGTTAAGTGTATGTGTAATGACTAGACATGTAACAAGACGACAGGTTTGTTAAGTGTATGTGTAATGACTAGACATGTAACAAGACGACAGGTTTGTTAAGTGTATGTGTAATGACTAGACATGTAACAAGACGACAGGTTTGTTAAGTGTATGTGTAATGACTAGACATGTAACAAGACGACAGGTTTGTTAAGTGTATGTGTAATGACTAGACATGTAACAAGACGACAGGTTTGTTAAGTGTATGTGTAATGACTAGACATGTAACAAGACGACAGGTTTGTTAAGTGTATGTGTAATGACTAGACATGTAACAAGACGACAGGTTTGTTAAGTGTATGTGTAATGACTAGACATGTAACAAGACGACAGGTTTGTTAAGTGTATGTGTAATGACTAGACATGTAACAAGACGACAGGTTTGTTAAGTGTATGTGTAATGACTAGACATGTAACAAGACGACAGGTTTGTTAAGTGTATGTGTAATGACTAGACATGTAACAAGACGACAGGTTTGTTAAGTGTATGTGTAATGACTAGACATGTAACAAGACGACAGGTTTGTTAAGTGTATGTGTAATGACTAGACATGTAACAAGACGACAGGTTTGTTAAGTGTATGTGTAATGACTAGACATGTAACAAGACGACAGGTTTGTTAAGTGTATGTGTAATGACTAGACATGTAACAAGACGACAGGTTTGTTAAGTGTATGTGTAATGACTAGACATGTAACAAGACGACAGGTTTGTTAAGTGTATGTGTAATGACTAGACATGTAACAAGACGACAGGTTTGTTAAGTGTATGTGTAATGACTAGACATGTAACAAGACGACAGGTTTGTTAAGTGTATGTGTAATGACTAGACATGTAACAAGACGACAGGTTTGTTAAGTGTATGTGTAATGACTAGACATGTAACAAGACGACAGGTTTGTTAAGTGTATGTGTAATGACTAGACATGTAACAAGACGACAGGTTTGTTAAGTGTATGTGTAATGACTAGACATGTAACAAGACGACAGGTTTGTTAAGTGTATGTGTAATGACTAGACATGTAACAAGACGACAGGTTTGTTAAGTGTATGTGTAATGACTAGACATGTAACAAGACGACAGGTTTGTTAAGTGTATGTGTAATGACTAGACATGTAACAAGACGACAGGTTTGTTAAGTGTATGTGTAATGACTAGACATGTAACAAGACGACAGGTTTGTTAAGTGTATGTGTAATGACTAGACATGTAACAAGACGACAGGTTTGTTAAGTGTATGTGTAATGACTAGACATGTAACAAGACGACAGGTTTGTTAAGTGTATGTGTAATGACTAGACATGTAACAAGACGACAGGTTTGTTAAGTGTATGTGTAATGACTAGACATGTAACAAGACGACAGGTTTGTTAAGTGTATGTGTAATGACTAGACATGTAACAAGACGACAGGTTTGTTAAGTGTATGTGTAATGACTAGACATGTAACAAGACGACAGGTTTGTTAAGTGTATGTGTAATGACTAGACATGTAACAAGACGACAGGTTTGTTAAGTGTATGTGTAATGACTAGACATGTAACAAGACGACAGGTTTGTTAAGTGTATGTGTAATGACTAGACATGTAACAAGACGACAGGTTTGTTAAGTGTATGTGTAATGACTAGACATGTAACAAGACGACAGGTTTGTTAAGTGTATGTGTAATGACTAGACATGTAACAAGACGACAGGTTTGTTAAGTGTATGTGTAATGACTAGACATGTAACAAGACGACAGGTTTGTTAAGTGTATGTGTAATGACTAGACATGTAACAAGACGACAGGTTTGTTAAGTGTATGTGTAATGACTAGACATGTAACAAGACGACAGGTTTGTTAAGTGTATGTGTAATGACTAGACATGTAACAAGACGACAGGTTTGTTAAGTGTATGTGTAATGACTAGACATGTAACAAGACGACAGGTTTGTTAAGTGTATGTGTAATGACTAGACATG